ATAGAATCATAGAATCATAGAATCATAGATTTATAAGGTTTCTCTCCCGTGTGGGTTCTCTGGTGTATAAGGAGGACTGATGGTGCACTGAAGCTTTTCCCACACTCAAGACATTTATGTGGTCCCTCTCCTGTATGCACTCTCTGATGGGCAGTAAGATTTGAGCTCCGATAGAAGCTTTTCCCACAGTCCAAACATTCATAAGGTTTCTCTCCTGTGTGAGTTCTCTGATGTATAATAAGAGTTGATAGTACACCGAAACTTTTCCCACACTCGAAACATTTATAGGGCCTCTCTCCTATGTGCACTCTCCGATGGGTAGTAAGATTTGAACTCTGATTGAAGCTTTTCCCACAGTCCAAGCATTTATAGGGTCTCTCTCCGGAATGGATTCTACCATGTTTAATAAGATCTGAGCGCCGACTGAAGCTCTTCCCACACTCCAAGCATTTATATGGTTTCTTTTCCTTGGGATTTGTCTGCTGGTCTGTGGTTTCCTGGGGATCCTTGCCTCCTCCCCCACATTCAATTACTTCATTCACTTTCTTCCTTTGGCGGTTTTCCAACTTTCTCTCCGACCTGTGCCGATGATTCCAGGCTTTTCTCTGTTCCCAGTACTGGGAAAAATTCCCTTGAGCTCTTCTCAAAAACCTCCCCTGCAGTTCCACTTGGTCAGGACCTTCCTGCTGTGGATTCCCCTCCTCGTTCTCATTCATTGTCTCATCACCTGCTGGGGAAGAGAGAGAAAGTCCAGGCAGGAGTCATTGCCTGGGCTGGTAGAAAGGAAAGAATGTGTGATGGGGTCAGCACCCGCCTCTCGTGGGCATGTCTGCGTTCTTTATCCTCTGGTGACCCCTTTCAGTGGTTCTCAGTCGGTTTCTTCAACAACTCAGCCCTCTGGCTGAGTCACACAGTGTCTGCGCGTGAACCAGAACAGGCCCCTTCCGGGGTACACAGTCCACCAGGCCTAGCCCAGTACCCCCCTGGTGCTGTTTCTCTAGCCCTGCCTGGGCTCAGTCCTAAAGTAGTCTCAGCCCTGGTAGGGGGCTGTATCCCCAGGGCTTCCCCCTTGGAGACACTATTTTCCTGGGGTCCTCCCCAGGCTCAGTCCTCACCCAGTCCCTTCAGCCAGACAGGAGCTCCTCAATGCTCCTCTGGTCGCTGCTTGCTCGGTCCTTTGCTCGGTCTGAGCTGCCAGCCAGGAGCCTCTCACTCCCCCGGTCCCTGCCCCCACTTAGCTGTTGTTGTGCTGCAGTGCCTTCAGGCAGCTGGGCACGGACTCCTTTTCCTTCAGCTCCCAGTAGCCGCTCAATCCAACAACTCTCTCTCTCTTCTCTGATCTGCTGCTCCTTTTTATATGCCCCCCCGGGCCCTGAGTGCTTGCTTCTTGTGCAGCCACTCTAGCCTGCTCGGAGGATCTCTCTACTGCTCCCTTCCTGGAATGGGTGTGGCAGAGCCCCGAGCTCTCCAGCAGGGGGCCCTTGGGCTTAGTCCACCCCCTCACACAATGACTGTTGGGGAGACTGAGAAATTGGATTCTGCCTCCACGTCCCATCCAAACACTCCCAGGGAAGTGAAGTCAGGGAGAAAACTCCTGACAGGGAACAGGGTGGGTGGGAAGCCATGAGTGATATCTGCCATGATGATACGACACCTGCTGACCAGCGCCTGACCTGGGTGAGATGAGGCAGAACTGAGGGGGGCTCACACCACATTTTGAGGATTTTCAGCTTTTTCCTCCATTTGCCAGATAGTTTCTGTGTCAGTGTCACTGACTCCTCACCTCTGCGGGTGCCTCTTGGGATCTTCCTTTCCTCGGAGTCCTGGAGATCCGGGACCCACGGCTCTTCCCCTGCTTCCAGCCAGGCGATCAGGGCAGGTTTGGGAATGGGGAGTCCTGCTCAGGGGTGAAATCAGGCATGAGCAGAGTGCACTGAGGATTGGGGCAGGATTTGTCACAAATTGAGTTTAAACTGACCCCATGATTTGCTGGGGGGTTGTGGGGTCTGAACAGATGGGAACATAGTCACTGAGCCCCTGTGGGAGAGGCAGATCTCTGGGGGTGGGGGGAAGTTGTCACTCCCTCCCTACGAGTGTTCAGGATCTGTGTGTTCTGGGGGACTTGCTGAGGCACACAAAGCTCTGATGTTAAATCTATTGACTTGAATTTATGGGCTAGTTTATTACGGCTCACCAATGGTCTGACCAGAAAATATTTAGGGTTTTGTCCCTAGTTAGAAAACTCAGAGAGTTCAACACCATGAGAGGATCCTCCACTTGTGTGGCAAGGACATGTATTCTGAGGAGAATATCAAAATATGAAGATCGTTACAATAAATGCTATTAAACACAGAATGACAAAGTAGTAATTCAATTCTATGGCACCTTGGGGTAACATTTCTATTCTAAAAGACTACGCAAACTAGCATACTCACACCCTTCCCTGAAGACCTGGGAGTGGGAGACAGAGGACCAGCCTCAACTCTGGCATGCCTGATGAATTCAATGGTCCAGACTTCCCCATTTGGTAGGGATCAGGGTTGAGTGTTAAGTAGCTTTGCTATATTGAGCTGATAGCTTGATAGAATATAGGAAAGAATGACCCCTCTGCATGGTTGTTTACCCTCGTATAGGGTCCTGGCCCCATTCTAATCAGGGCCCAAACTACGAGGCCCAAATATCATTTCCCCATCCAGATAAATCTTCGGGTACACTTACTCTTAGGCTAACATATTATGACATTTGTTGTCAGAAGGGGTCATGGTCAATGAAGTCTGAGAACTGCTGAGAAAGGATAACGTACCGCTTCTGCACTCATGAGAGCTGGAGGGATGGGTGTGAATTAGCATGTCCATTACGTTCACACAGGAGACTGGATTAGATGACCTCTTGAGATCCATTCCAGTCCTATGATTTTATGACTCCCCTATCCCATTGGAGGGGTTTGGAGGTGAGTGTCTCTCTTATACTGGAGCTGTGGACTATATGATCCATTCCCCTCTAATCTAACTGACCAGGGAAAAACCTGACCAGATGCGGAAATACAGGCCCCATGGCTTCAAATAGCTGAGGGGACAGGAATCCTTACCCAGCGAGGTCACAGTCTCATAGTTCTCCTGCATGACGTCCCTGTAGAGGGCTCTCTGAGCGGGGTCCAGCAGAGCCCCCTGCCCCGCGGTGAAATACACAGCCACCTCCTCGAAGCTCACTGGCATCTGAAACAACAGGTGCCCCCCACTCAGAGCCTGGTGCCCCAGCCACAGCCCCACTATTCATGGGGGAAGAAGCACAACACCAGGACAGCTCTGGGAGGGCCAGAGGAGCAGAATCCCATCCCCACCCTGCTCACAGTGGCCAGAAGGCTGCAGGGAACAGAGAGAAGAGGAGAGCTCCTTGTCCTCCCAGCAGATGGAGGAGGGCAGGGTCTTCTCATTTCCTACCCACCTACTAGGCACAGGCTGATGTGGGAGGCAAAGCTCAGTGCAGGGAACAGGGACAGGAATCCCAGCACCTCCCATTTGTGTTTCACTGCAGTCTCAGCCCAGGGGGTTCAGGCTCCAGCATTTTGCTGCTTTCCCAGCCGTGTCTGAGGGGGATCGGTTTCCTTTTTCAGAAATGGGGGAATGTTCACCCCCCCACCCGCAACAATGAGCCTGTTCATAAAAGAGCCCCTAGGCTGAGCATGTCCCAGCAGGTTTATCACACCCTGTCCCCCTCCCTGCCTCACCTTGTGTATTTCTTGCCCCTCCCCCCTCTACCTCAACCCTCCCCAGCAGCTCCCCCCAAAATCCCCTACCTGAGTTGGATCCACCACAGCCATTTCCCTGCCCCAGCCCCTAGGAAAATGGGACGATCTGGAGCGATCTGGGGTCATTATTCTGCAACCTGTCAGGGTGAGAAGAGCAATTGGGGAGGTTTCTGAATTAGCGTTATTCCATTTCACACCCCAATTCCCCCTAGGCTCTTTAAAGAACATAAGAATGGCCCTACGGGGTCAGACCAAAGGTCCATCTAGCCCAGTATCCTGTCTTCTGACAGTGGCCAGTGCCAGGTGCCCCAGAGGGAATGAGCAGAACAGGGAACCATCAAATGATCCATCCCCTGTCGCTCATTCCCAGCTTCTGGTAAACAGAGGCTAGGGGCACCATTCCTGCCCATCCTGGCTAATAGCCATTGATGGACCTATCCTCCATGAACTTATCTAGTTCTTTTTTGAACCCTGTTATGGTCTTGGCCTTCACAACATCCTCTGGCAAGGAGTTCCACAGGTTGATTGCGTTGTGTGAAGAAATACTTCCTTTTATTTGTTTTAAACCTGCTGCCTACTAATTTCATTTGGTGACGCCTAGTTCTTGTGTTATGAGAAGTAGTAAACAATACTTCCTTATCTACTTTCTCTACACCAGTCATGATTTTAGACCTCAATCATATCTCCCCTTAGCCATCTTTTTTCCAAGCTGAAAAGTCCCAGTCTTATTAATCTCTCCTCATACGGAAGCCGTTCCATATCCCTAATCATTTTTGTTGCCCTTTTCTGAACCTTTTCCAATTCCAATATACCTTTTTGGAGATGGGGCGACCACATCTACACGTAGCATTCAAGATGTGGGCATACCATGGATTTATATAGGGGCAAGATGATGTTTACTGTCCTATTATCAATCCGTTTCTTGATTATTCCCAGTATTCTGTTCGCTTTTTTGACTGCTGCACACTGAGTGGATGTTTTCAGAGAACTATCCACAATGACTCTGTGATTTCTTTTTTGAGTGGTAACAGCTAATTATTTTATATGTGTAGTTGGGATTATGGTTTCCAATGTGCATTACTTTGCATTTATCAATATTAAATTTCATTTGCCATTTTGTTGTCCAGTCATCCAGTTTTGAGAGATCCTTTTGTAGCTCTTCACAGTCTGCCTGGGTCTTAACTATCTTGAGTAATTTTGTATCATCTGCAAATTTTGCCACCTCACTGTTTACCCCTTTTTCCAGATCATTTATAATTGTTGAATAGGACTGGTCCCAGAAGAGACCCCTGGGACATAGGTGCCAACTCCATGGGTGCTCTGGGGCTGGAGTACACAAGGGGAAAAATTGGTGGGTGCTCTGCACCCACCGGCAGCTCCCCATCCTGCCCCGCCCCAGCTCACCTCCGCTCCGCCTCCTCCCCTGAGCGCGCCGTGGCTCCACTTCTCCCTCCTCCCTCCCAGCGCTTCCCGCCACGAAACAGCTGATTCGTGGCAACAAGCGCTGGGACAGAGAGGAGAGGAGGGGGAACGCGGCACGCTCGGGGAAGAGGTGGGTCCCGGGTGAGGATTTGGGGAAGGGGTCCAATAGGAGCAGGGAGGGGGCAGAGTAGGGCAGGGACTTTGGGGAAGGGGTTGGGATGGGGCGGGGCAGGAGGAGGCGGGGTGGAGCCGGGAGCGAGCACCCACTGGGGCCTGGAAAAGTTGGTGCCTATGCCCTGGGGGCACCACTATTTACCTCTCTCCATTTTGAAAACGGATCATTTATACCTACCCTTTGTTTCCTCTCTTTTAACCAGTTACCAATCCATGAGAGGACCTTCCCTCTTATCCCATTGCAGCTTACTTAGATTTTCAGAAAGCCTTTGACAAGGTTCCTCACCAAAGGCTCTTAAGCAAAGTACACCATATTCATTAGATCCCCGTTGTCCAAATGCTTGTTTACCCCCCTCAAAGGATTCTAGTAGATTGGTGAGGCATGATTTCCCTTTACTAAAACCATGTTAGGTTTCAGAGTAGCAGCCGTGTTAGTCTGTATCCGCAAAAAGAAGAACAGGAGTACTCGTGGCACCTTAGAGACTAACAAATTTATTAGAGCATAAGCTTTCGTGGACTACAGCCCACTTCTTC